ATTTGGGGCCCTATAGTACTAAGGGTACTTTATAGGAACCCCCATTAAGGGATCTACTTTTTGGATCCTCCCGGGGGTCTGGGTCGCCAATATCGATGTTGGTTAGAACATTGGATCTGGTTGGGGCAAATGTCCGCCACCTGAGTACAAAGAACCCTGTGGGGGAGTGTACAGTACCCAGACACCCGGGAGGATCCAGAAAGTAGATCCCTTAATGGGGGTTCCTATAAAGTACCCTTAGTAGGACAGGGACCCAAATTGGGGGATCTACTTTCTAGATCCTCCCGGGGGTCTGGGTAGACCATAAAGTTGGAAACCGGATGAAGGCCAAATAGTGCTGGGATTCCCTATACATCACTCCTAAGGATTGAGGCTATTGGGTTTCCATTTTGTTGGGGGCTTCTAGTGTAAGTACAAAGAACCCTGTGGGGGAGTTTAAACTATGCAGAATAACAACCCGAAAGAAGCAGATGGGGGAGGGCCAAGCGGGTTTCAGGTCGTTGTAGAGCCTTCGTGTTGCTTAATCCTTTGCCAACCCAGACACCCGGGAGGATCCAGAAAGTACATCCCTCAATGGGGGTTCCTGTAAAGTACCCTTAGTAGGACAGGGACCCTAATTGGGGGATCTACTTTCTAGATCCTCCCGGGGGTCTGGGAATGTGCACGTTTTGGAGGAGATATATAGACCAAATGACTTGAGATTCAGGTGGAAGGCTGAATGTAAGAGGCCATTGCGACCATATGGACTGCAGGAAAGGAGTCCATTCTTCACAGTCTACCCAGAGGCCCCAAAGTAGTTCCTTTTAGGGATTACTTTATAGGATTTTATATATGAGCCGCAAAAAGGAACTACTTTGGGGCCTTTGGGTAAGCCGAAGCTGGGCCTTACCTTCAAGTCAGAGCTGTCATTAATTGTACCTAACTCGTCCTCCTCTTAGGAGATCAGGGAGTGTTAAGATTTAAGTTCGAGACAGTCAGTGACTGAACTATGCAGGTGCCAGGGTTGAGGGCATTTGGGGGTTGGTTGGTTGTTTTCTGTGGGTAGTTGTCAAAATTAGGTCTCCTTTCTGGGTAGCCTAAATAAGGGTGCCGTATTATACTAGGGGCCCAAAAAGAGACTATAATTTTGACAACTACCCATGTGTCTTCTTTTGTTGTTTTTCGCTTTTTGGAGGGACAGGGGGCAATGCGGCTTACGGGGGGAACCTTCCTTCGCTTGCATCATGTGGCTCGTTCTCCTTGTAGACGTGGCAGTTTGGCAGAAGAAGAGTGCAGTTCATGGAGTAGATCATCTTCCTGATGACTCTTCCCTAGTTCTCAAGTATCCTGCGAAACTAAAGGTTAACGTTTAGGAGTTTATTGTGACTGTACAGGGATTGTGTGTGGTACCCCAAAAAGCTTAAAGGTTGCCTACTCTACTACTCGGCTTCATTGCCCTGAACCCTAAACCCCTAGAACCTCCAAGGCTAAAAACTTGAGTGTCTGGGGACGATGCCAAAGACGTCGCAACTCAAGCAGGCTAGAGAGACTCGAACCCGGAACAGGCATGCAAAGTCTGCTTAAACCTACCGTTTCAGGGGTTCTACCCTCTGGTCAGGATATCGTAACCTTCTCTTTTTGCAGGGTTTGGGAGTCTCGGGTCGCAGGCAGGGTCTAGGCGAAATTTGGCGCCCCATGCTTCTTGGAAATGACGAGTTCGGTGGGTTTCGGATTGATTACAAGAGATGTGACGGTCTTACACACTTAGAGCTTACTTGTTGAAGGCATGAGGATGCTGGGCCTGCTGCACACCTCTTCGAGGGGAGGGGATCAAAGATCTTTCGGTCTGTCAATCTTGGCTTGGGAGGCATATCCTAGTGACGTGGCGTCAGTATAGCGTTTATGAGAGCTTCGTGAACTCAAGGACCTTACTAGAGCCTTAAACGACGGGACCCGTGATGTGTTAGAATACCATATCCAGGTTCCCCTAATTAAGACGAGCTCATCCGACGAGCCTGGTATTTTGGCACTGTTTGCGCTTCCATCTACTTTCTTATAAGGTAGGATCCTCAAAAGTAATGCTGGGTGGCTAAGAAGCGACTGCATTTCCAGTTTCAAAGGCATATGTGGCCTGTGAGGTCCTGCTACACCAATGGAACGGTTGATGATATAAATCCTGCATTACCTTAAGGACCCTAATCTATGGGAATTGCGGTATATTCCTTTCTGGCGACAATGCACAAAACATCGCAAAACCCGTTGTATGTGGAAAAGCAGGGCTCCCACAGCGTCCCTTTCTGCCTTATAATGGGTCATGCTGGATTTATATCATCAACCGAAGTAAGCAGTATCCCAGTAGCCCCCAAAAGCGGTCAGATAGGGCCTCGGACCCTCTTGACCCTAAGCCCTAAACTTCCTTAAACCCCAGACTTTATTAACCTGAAACCCCAAATCCCGGACCCTTCCTTGACTCTAAACCCCAAACCCACCTAACCTCAAACCCGAAACCTCAGACCAAGCAAGCGATTAGATAGGACCTGAAGTAGGCAAACACAACTCGAACCGAAGAGTTCCATCTGGCAGGCAAAGTCCTTTCAGAACCGAATAGAAGCAAACACAACATTCACAACACTGCACAACCGTTCGGAACCCAACAACTCAAATAAGACGTGAAACAAACGACAGAACCGCACAACAGCATAGCAAACCCAAGTAACACCCCAAAACTTGTCAAACCACACAAACAATACTATCCAACCAAACCCAGGCCATACATTAAAAGCCAAACTAAGCTCATGAAACCTAATGCAAACTTAGATAAAGCCCTTCAACCTATGCAGGTAGTAGCAGACGTAATAACAGGCAAACAACCCTATAAATGCCCAGAAACACCCTCTCCCTTAAACAGCAAGAGCACCAAAACACCACTGGAGGAAGGCAAGCAGCACAAGACCAACAGTTCCTGCGCCGATTTCAAGGTGCCCAACCTATCAGGGGACTTCTGGCCAGAAACGGGGATGATGATGATGATGATCCACAAACAAATTATTATAAGTGCTGTATGAATTTATGCATGTATGTATGGTTTTGGTCGATGATTCTAAGTTTTAAAGTTCCTCACTGGGTTTGTAAATGTTGTTCAGGGGCTTTATACAGGTCTCCTTGCGCCGAAGAGCCTCAAGACATCAATCTCCAAGGGGCCTTCATGGTTAGAATCGCGTCTTTGGGGACCATGCTGGTATGCAACGAAGAGCGCTAGCAATGAAGGTGTATCACTCTGGCTTCTCAAGGTAGGTTTGGGTCAGGCCGTGGGGTGTTTTACGTATGGCTGTCTTGTGCCGACAAGGAGCTCTTTCCGGGGTGTTTGCATTAAGGGTAGCATTCATGATTTCAGTTCAATAGGGCCTGACTAGGGTTCCCATGTAGGTACTTCTGGGGCGAAGTATATGCTGAGGGAGGACTGGAACCTAACCTTTGGATTATATAAGCGTTAGAGGATTCACGAGGCCCACGCGTTGGATTTGGCCGCACCCATGACGTATGGCTGATCGCCTGGGCTTCACGCGAAGCGCACCCGGGCTTATGGAGATCGTTCCTTCGGATCCGTCTGTGCAGGCTTTAGGGTTTAGGGTTTACGGACTTTAGGGTTTTTTGCGGTTTAGTTTGGAGGTTGTAAGGCTTCAGGAGATAGTCTCGAAATGGTTGTTGGCTCAAGTTCTGTGACTTCCAGAGAGTGTGCTGTGCCGAAATGGCTTTTGGCTCAAGTTCTGTGACTTCAAAAAAATGCGTGCCGTAGGCCAGGCATTGACCAAACTTGCTGTAAGAGCGAAAGTCACGCCACTTCTGCAATGAAGCCAACCAGAAGTATTAACAGAGAGTCACGATCAGGACGTTATGCAAGCTAGCTAAAGTCGTGTTTGGATCACTAGCATACCCAGAGACACGATACCCAAAACAAACACCCACCAACATTCCTAAGGATCCCCATGTACACTCGCTAGCGTCTAAAACAGACCCCACTTGACATCAACTCACGGGTGGTGCTGCTTGGAAGTCGACAGCGGCTCGCGATTGAAGGTCTAAGCAGCCCGCGCATGCATTCCTTCTGAACAAGGGATGTCTTTTGCGCCTGCGAACTTCGGACATCACGACTCCAGGACTCCAGGTGTGCAACGAATATGAACACGTGTATGTCTCTCTACACGTATATATATATATATATATATGTATATATATATGTACACAAATATAAACATATGTGTATCTATATATGTATACATACATGTATGCATACTTGCTCAATAACTACTTTGAGTGAGTTTTCGCTCTATGACGCTGCAGCTGCAAGATCGGGGAAGGGGACTGCAAGACAGTAAGGGCACACCCATCAGAAGCTAATGGCGAAACCCTCATACCCCGAAGGGTCCATGCACCCAACTACCAGATACATTGGCCAATACTACACAGCTACATGGACCATAAACCCTAAACCCTAACCTCAGGGTACTAACCTAACCAGTAGATCTTAGAAGCTGCCCCCCACCCTGTAATAGTGACTATAAGGATTATATATTAGGGCCCTAGTATATGCCTACTACACCACTATTACAGGGTGGGGGCCCCTTCTAAAATAGATTAACCAGTACCCATAGGCTCTAGAGTAGTTCTTTTTTGGGTTTGGGGCTTGGGAGCTTAGGGTCCCTCAGGGTCCATGTACCCAGATAGTCTATCCTTTGGCCCCAATGTACCTGTATAGGGACTACCCAGAGGCTCCATAGTAGTTCCTTTTTGGGATTGCCTACCCTATAAGTTATAGGATTCTAAATATGAACCCCAAAAAAGAACTACTATGGAGCCCCTAGGTATGGCATACGATTGCTAACTGCCAACTGCTCAGACGCCCATATTTCAGGCAAGATCCAAAAGACCAAGCAGATAAGAGAGATAAGGACTGAGGGTTTAGGGTTTAGGGAGTCACGGGTGGAACCGTGTCTCCATCTGCACTTCTTTGTCCCTAGCAGCTAGCAGTGTGGCGAAATCTTGCGGATAGTTTGCCAGTGCCTTGGCCCGAAGGCAGCAACATCTGCAGTACAGATGTCTCGAGAAACAGATGTCGGCTTCTCCGCCCCGGTCCGTGAAAACCACTTCTCGTTCTCGCTGTGGAACAGAGCATCCAATCTTGCACACTTGGCTGGGATGTTCTTTGCAGCCTGGATAATAGCAGGATTCACGGAAGTGAGCAACTTGTCGGGGTGTGCGGCCACAACTGATCTGTTGAACTTCTCATCGTTCCAGGCCGTGCACAGAGAAGTGTTTTTACCCATCGCCTGCTTTATCTCGTGAAAGTCTCGTGCCAATCGAACCACATCAATCGCCGCAAAAGGCGGGGACTCGTTCCACAACTTTTGGCGACCGTTGACAGAGTCCTTGCACTGCTTCCACCGACTGCCCCTGAAACCCAGGCTCGCATTGCACACCAAGAACGCCGCCCCACTACATTTCGCCTCCTTACTTGCCCAGCATCCTAGGGCCCTAACGAAACTGAATGTTAACCTGTGGGTTCATCTAGTGGTCATATACCGCAAAAAACAAAGGCAAAAGCTGCATGAACCGTAAACGCTAAACCAGACGAAGCCTCTTTCAAAAACTCATAGGATGCAGCATGCACCGTCTGGAACATGCTTAAGTTGTTGAGCAGCCGCAGGTGCTCGTCCGCGTCCTTACTTGCCCTGATCATAAACGGACAAGCTCTCAGGGCTTAGGATTTACGTTTGAGCTTTCGTTGGTACTGCCATTTTGGCTTGCCTTTAACATTATGACTATGAGATTCAAAGATTGCTGGCAACTCAAGTGCGTACCACCTCGACCCCCCCAAAGTAGGTAACATAATCGCCAAACGTTGTTCTACATATTTTGGAGGTTGAGGCAAGTGTCTCCATGAGCATCGACATGAAAGCTGTGCAGGCTCGATGCTAAATGAGCTGGAAACTTTAGCGGAATACCTCGGCTGCCAACTTCGGTGTAAGGCTTAGGATACAGGGTGTCAGTCTAGTGTTGAGGGCATAGGGTTTATCCCTAAACCCTAAGCCTTATGCCCCTGCAGAGGCTTCAAGCAGATCCTGCACCTCCCTATAGATAAAAAAAGGAACACTAAACCCTAAACTTAGGCCTAAACCCTTGAGAAAGCCTCAAGCAGATCCTCAGCCATTCATGTCCCACTAGATGTGGATTTCAACAGCCCTTCTACATGAAACAAGAAGGGAAATCAAACAGTATCCGCATCCGGCACCGACTCTAACTGTAGACTGGGGGATGCAACAGTTTCGTGCCATGAGCCAGGGGCGGGGGTCAAGGCTTCTGGGTCCTAAACCCTCAGCCCGAAATCCTAAAAATAAAAATAAAAACCTAAATGTTACTAAACCTTCAGCCCGAAATCCTATAAAAACAAGCCCTAAACCCTAGATTCTATAGACCTTGTTTGCACCCAAACCATTCTGGTTTAAGCTTGAGGGAGCCCTGTTGTCCCAAAAACTCCGGAGGATCCTTCAAAGCTTCCGCCTTCCTCTAAATCATCTTTAAGGCTTATAAGGTATAACGTATACGGTTTAGGGTTTCTAAGGCTTAGAGGGTTCATATATGGTATAGGGTTTAGGGTTTCTAAGGCTTAGAGGGTTTATATGGTATAGGGTTTAGGGTTTCTAAGGCTTAGAGGGTTCATATGGTTTAGGCTTTAGGGTTTCTAAGGCTTAGAGGGTTCATATGGTATAGGGTTTATGGTTTCTGAGGCTTAGAGGGTTCATATGGTATAGGGTTTAGGGTTTCTAAGGCTTAGAGGGTTCATATGGTATAGGGTTTAAGGTTTCTAAGGCTTAGAGGGTTTATATGGTATAGGGTTTAGGGTTTCTAAGGCTTAGAGGGTTTATATGGTATAGGGTTTAGGGTTTCTAAGGCTTAGAGGGTTTATATGGTTTAGGCCTAATAAAAAGTTTTTGTAAGCGTAGCAGTAGCAAAGGTGCACACATAGCCTAAAGCCTAAACCCTAAACCCCTAACCCTAAACCCTGAGGGAAGGAGGCACCTTTGGTGCAGGGTCGAATAGGTCCGTGTGTGCCCAAAATTTGGCAGTGATTTTGATTCTAGGTAATTAAGGACCTTATTGGGGTCGAACTTGATGTTGTGGTTACGAGGATTCGGACAATATTCGGACAATTAGCGATGTATCGTAGAGGCTTTAGCCTTGCGGGTCCTAATTACATGTGCAGCGAAGCGTTGATCTAGGACCCTGCGCACGAGAATAAAAGCAAAAAACAAGTCCTTGGGACCATTTAATCGGAACTGAGATTGTTCAACGAGAATGGACCTATACTACATACAGCAAAGAACGAACATGATTCCGGCAATGGGAAGTCAGGCAAGTTGCTTCGAACCTTGCTTTGCTCTGCCCACACTGCGGCATACCAGCTAGCAGCATCCCGGTGAAACACCACCGCAGACATGCAAGTGCTCGCACCAAATAGAGACATGAAGCACCGCCAAGTTTTGACGTCAAAGAAGGCGAAATCTTCAGACGATAATACAACCAGTTGTGACGAATTCAGCTGCGAGTATACGTAGCTCAACCCATCCTTCAGCCTTGCTTCTTTCACAATATCTCGCTGCTCTCCGCCGCCACGGTTACAGGTGTAGAGAAGTGGTTCCACAATAAAGCGCGCAGTTGCCTTCGCAAAGCCACGGAAACCCAAACTCAAGCCAAATTCGTCCCGGAGCCAGCCTGCATTCTGTATCAGGAACTTTTGAATGGCCGTGGTACCGGTCTTCTGTGGCCCAACATGGACGACCAACTTGGGACCAGTACAAGCTCCTGCAAGTGCGGATCCGTTCTGCACTCCATTTGCCTTCAGCACTTCCTCGGGATCTCCAATAGTCACCTGGATTTGAAAAGTTATATGCTTCTAGTCCTGTTGAAGAAGAAGCCATGAATAGCTTATGCATATGATAATTTATGTTGCTTTTTGATTCCGGACAACCTGCTTCTGGTCTGTGCCAGGGGTAGAAGCCAAGCTGGACAGCCAAGAGAAACTGCCGAGGATGCCCAGAATTGCCAGAGCCGTCACGCAGCGGCGAACCACCATTCATACTTCAGCCGAAACTGAAGAATTGCGGATAGGATTTGTGGCTTTTTGATTTTATCAAAGCTCTTTTCCGGTTGGAGTTGTGGTTCACAGTTCTTATCACTTGTGCAATATGCTAAGGAAACTAAAGGTGAAACTTTGGGATTCTGTAGGGATAGTCGTTCCCCAAACAAGTTAAGGTTTGCTGGAAGTCTTGAGTGTTGAGCTGGCGGGCTGATAGTGAGGGACGTGCATGGTTATCAACGCGCTAAACCCAAAACCCTAGCTTTAGGATTTAGGGTTGCAGGGCTTGGAGTTGAGGGATATCCGAGATCTGCAGCCGTAAGGACCGTCATGGGATATGCTTCTGCATGCACAGCTGACAACACTGCGGGCTTGCGTTCCATGTTCAGGGTTCAAGGTTTAGGCTTTTGGGTTCAGGGTTAGGGTAGGCGGTGCACAGCGTGGGATTTTGACTTCAAGGTTTCTGCGTTTCAATAAGGTTTAGGGAGCAGCAGCTACACGCATTTTTGGTCGAAGAGAAGCGCTGGAAGCGAAAATGCCCGAAATTCCAAACAGCTAACCAAAGTCCTGCAGACCCAAGCCCGGAACCCCAAAACCAAGAAAACATTCCAACACCCCAAATCCTAAGCCTAAACCCCAAACCCCGAAACCCTACACCCTCAACATCCCTCAACCTTACAGTAGAAGCCAGAAAGTTGGAATATCATTATCGTATCCCCTTTAAGGTAAATTATAGGGGATCCTACCATTAATCCATATTCCAACTTTCTGGAGTTCCCCTTAAAACCTAAACCCAGAAACCCGAAAACCCTACACCGCAAACCCTGGAAGTCGCTGGGTTTCGGCTAAACATCGCATTCCCCGCTAGGGGGCGCCGCACTTGATCCATGACCATCCGGGAGGAGCCAACCTTCTACGGAAGGGATCTTAAGTCTCATAAGTCATAAGGTGCCTTAGCAAATACCCCAAAGGGTCCAAGTACCCAATAATCATATACTCTCCAAAATCCTAACCTACATAACTACTATCCTAAAACCGAGTGTCTGATTCTTGGGTCCTTTGGACCCTTGGGGATATAATGTAGGGCAACCTTAAGGCTTCCCTTCAAAGGCTTCAGTGAGGTTGCTACAAAAAGTGACTACATTGGGGCCTGGACGACTAGAATAAGGTTTTGGTGTACATAGTATATAGGGTCTCTGTATGGTAACACGGTTGAGATACGGATACCTTTTTCGTCAAGATGGTAAACGGTCTTGCTGGGGCTCCTAGCAACTCATGATGGGCTGGCTACGGTGCCAAATATATGTATACCGTTATTGAATTTAATAAGACTTGTGTAGGGTTTGGGTACGGGGTTTTGACCGAAACGTTTCTTTTGCTTCTGCGCTGCGCTGGGCTGGCAGGCCGGGCTGGGCTGGGCTGGGTCTGATCTGGGGTTTTGGGTCGGGCTGGGCTCGGCTGGGCTAAAGGAGCCTTAATTCCCATACACCCTAGCCGTAAGGCCTTAAAACGTAATGAGTAAACGGATCCCTTAAAGGAGCCCTACACGGAACAAACCCTGAAGCCTAGGCCCTAAGCCCTAGTAAGACCCCTTGCAGGAACCCCTTAACAGGAATCAAGAACAAAGCCTAAAACCATAGCAACGACTCCTTGAAGGAACACATTGAAGGAACCTTGTAAGGAAGCACCCTTCTAGATACCTTGAAGCCCTAAAATAAGCGGCCTTAATGAATAGAATAAGGCTTTGGGGTATACTATACCATAAGCATAATGAGGAACCCCCAAACTAGTATAGGTAACCATTAAGGCCCCTATAGTACCCTGTTATAGATCCCTTCTAGACCCTTTTAAGGATCCCTTTCAAGGGAACTCTAAACCCCTACAGTATACACTAAAGCCTAAACCCCTAAACCCGTATAGATCCCTTTAAAGGCACCCTTATAGGATCCCTTTATTGGTATAAGTACGTGATACGGCCCCTATACTAAATCCTCATAATAGCCCTTACAGACCCCTTTAAAACGAACCCGTAAGTAGTTATTAAGGCCCCTACAAAAAATCCCTCACGGAACAAGAACCCTTCAAGGAACCTTTGTATAGAGCCCTTTAAAAGGAACCCTGCTCTAGTTCTTAGGGCCCCTACATTTGGGTGGTTGTCAAAATTAGGGTCCCTTTTGGGTCCTTATTATAATACGGCACCCAGTATTCAGGATACCCCAAAACGGGCCATAATTTTGACAACTGCCCCTTTAAAGGGAACATCGGACCTCGATCGGGTCGCCCAAGGAGGTTCCAGTTCCATGGCACTCGCCAAAAGTGATTTCGGCAGCAGAAAGCCCTGCCTTCAGGGAGGATCGGTTTAGGGTAATAGGGGTTTAGGGTTTATAGGGTTGGGAGCTCAGGGTTTAGGGTTTCGGGGCTTTGGGTTTGGGGCTTGGGGTTTATGGCTTTGGGCCGTAAACGGATAGGGATTACGAGTTACTTGCGGGACGATGGATAACTGCAGACCTACAGGGATATGCGGGGCTTTCTGATTGTGAGCCTAATATGGGCTAACGGACTATAGGGTCTAAAGGCTTGAGCTTCTTGGCTTATGTACCCTGATGTCCTGCCAAGAACCCGAATCCCTAAACACCAAACCCTTGGTGTCAAGATGGGCATTTCTCCACATTAGGGTCCCTTTCAAGGTCCTTTTTATAAGGGTGCCGTACTATTTCGGTGACCTAGAGAGGGGCCCCAATTTAGAGAACTACCCACATAGAATCACTTGTAGTACCCTTATAGAAACCCTACTTTAGAAACTCTTGTAGATTCCATTGAGGAACCCTGACAGGGGCTCCAGTTTAGAGGACTACCCATTGTTTGGGTCGAAGGATCTGTTGCATTGAGGCTTCGAAGGCACGATATCACATGTTCCCCTAAGGGTCCTTGTGCCCAAATACTGTATATACTTTGGTCTTAAAAGTAGTCTCTATATAGCTACATTGGGGTCGAGCGCATGGGTTCGTGTAGTGATGACCTTGGCCGAGCCGGAACTGATTCGAAGCATCATGCTTAAGCTTGATGTACAGCTATAAGGGAGCTTGAACAAACCAACCCATTTATGCTTGATCGAAATTTGTGTACTCAGCAGTTTTGCTTTTATCGTTTGACGGGGAAAGCATTTTTTATCTTAACTACAGTACCGCTTTTGACAGGAAATCCCAGATTGTCAACTTACATTCCGATGGTATTTTTGTCATCCACATTCTTTGGCTCGGGTCTTCCAAGCAAGGTTTGGGAAGTCTGCGTCTGCGGCCCAAGCTAGAGCCTACAAGTAAGGTTTTCCCAAACCCTAAACGGGAATTTTGGCAGAACAAACCCTTTGTACTTCACGAGCTTGAGCTTCGTTATGGGACAGCTGGGGTCCAACAGAGGAGTCCTCTGTGTGAAGATGCAATACAGCAGTTTTTACTTGGAGCCTACATTCAAAGGTCAAACCCTAAATGCGTTAGAGTATCTGACTCTGAACCCTTGCCCGTAAACTTACCTCATTAAAACATCTACTTTCTGAAACACCGAAGAATTCAGCAAGGGTTGCCGATCAAATGTTCGAGCATGGCGCCCCAGACCGACTAAACCCAAAACAAGGCGCCTCGCGGATACAAGCCATGATGCATGCGCTTTGCGATGGTCCACTCGGCGCTGTGATACTCCTCAGGACAGTTCGGATTTAGGGTTTAAGGGTTATGGGGGGATAAATAATCAAGCAGCTCCATGTATATTAGCATTGCGTAACTATGGTCCCCAAATACATACCAGGCATGGTCTTTGAGGCCTAATTCCATGATGGTAGTATCACTGGAGCTGATTGGTAACATTAAATCCCTTCACCCTAAACCCTGTTGCGATTTCGGTGCTACATGAGCTTGTTTTGGTGCCAGAACTGGTCCACGTGATATGGGTTCCTTCTGCGATCGGTGGCCTCCTGTTACTAGGTCGTTCGATATGGGCTTAGGTTTTGAAACTTACAGTTTAGGGTTGAGGGACACTGAGAGTCTGAGAGCGTAGAAAGTTGTCTCGTGCGACGTTGCGTACAACTGAAGCCTTCGAAAGCAAGCTTGGGAAGCATGGCTGATCGTTGCAGTAGAGGTGGCGATCGTCGTCATCGTCGGCATCGCAGCATCATCGTCGTCGTAGTAGTAGTAGTAGGAGGAGACGTCGCAATAATAGTGGCAGGAAGAAGAAGAATAGGCGATAGTCAAGTAGAACCAACAGCAGCAGCAACAGGAGTGGCTATAGCCGTAGCGGTGGCAGTCAGTGGCGGCAGCAGCAGCGGTAATCGTAAACGACAGCTGGAACGGCAGGCAGACTGCAACCAATGACACAGACCACACTCACCAGCCTGCCAGTACATCCAGAATCACGGATGGCGTAGTAATGCAAACATGCCAAGGGCATGTACTCGCTCATTAACCAATGCACAGGGACCCGAAACAGTAAACCTTAAACCCCTACCCCCCATAGGCCCCGGTTTGGAGCACAATCCGAAAACTGAACTCCAGGTACAGTCCGGGTGCGCACTGCGACCATCCTGGTTCATCTTGCCTTGCCGACTTCCAATGGCACTTCTGGGTTATCGGTTACGGGTAACGTAGCAAGTTTAAAGACCCCAATACAAAGATCCTGATTGTAATGAATCCGATTAATCGCATCCCGATCGTAACCAGTCTTAATGGAGACGGGTTGACTCATCATGGGTCTGAACGATGCTTGAAACGGAAGTCTGCGTCTTGCTGTTCAGATCAGTCTTGATAAGGATACCCCGAAACTAAAGGGGAAAAGGGTAAGACTGGGGCACCTTGTTGCGCTTGCGATTCAGAACAACCACGGAGGTCCAACATCACGTTTAGCAATAGCGATGTGCGAAGGCTGCCCTGCACGGCGCGAGACTGCAAACCTTAAACTAAAAAATCCTGCACCGTAGCACAAGACCCTTTCAAGCCGGAACGCAAAGC